CACACACACACACACACACACACACACACACACACACACACAGAGAGAGAGAGAGAGAGAGAGAGAGAGAGAGAGAGAGAGAGAGAGAGAGAGGATGTAAATTTAGTTGATGTTGCAGTAATTGTTATCGGAAAAGAACGTTATCGAGGAGATGGAGAAGAAGAAATTTGCTCGTCGAGCTGACACTTTTCTACTGAGGATCGGTATGGGCCGGGTGAGGGGTGCGCTTCTGCGGCATCAGCGGGTAGTGAGGATGTCTCTCCTCGCTTTGTGTGTGGTGGTCGTCGGCGCGCAGCTCCGCTGGGTGGTATTTGGCGGCCCAACTACGTTCGAAAGTCTGTGCGCGGCTATAGAGAAGAAGAGGTCTTACGTGGAGCTGAGGGGGACGGTGGTACTTCGCGGCAATTTGCCGGCGATCGCTCACTCGATGACGATCGCGGGAAAGTCGAAGTCTGCGCGGATAAAGTCGGATTTTCGCGGGAAATTTCGACTCTTCGTTGTCCGAGGCGCGGGAGTGACCTTGGTGCTCAAGGATATGGAGTTGAGCGGAGGCCAGGCAGCCAAGAAGAGTTCCAAAGAGGCCAAGAAGATGCCCATGCTGGCCGACGGGGGTTCGGTATTAGTGTACGGAGGAGCCTCGGTGGAATTGCACAACGTCTTCTTCAACCACAGCAAAGCGGCCAACGGAGCCGCCATAGCCGCCCACGACGCAAGCTCGGTGACTGTACGGAACTGTCGGTTCCTGAACAATGCAGCCTGGAACACAGGAGGGGCGATCTACTTGACGAACAGGTCCACAGTCTGGACCTGGAGCAGCAGCTTCGAGAGGAATAAGGGGTCGGTCAAGGGGGGGGCAGTGCATGCGAACCAGGGGTCGTTCTACAGGTCGGTAGGGTGCATTTACAGGAGGAATGCGGTGAAAGAGGAGGGGGGAGGGGGGTGGGTGGTGGGTGGGGAGGGCACCATGGCTGAGTCCATTGATGACTTGTTCTTCGAGAATAAAGCACAGTACCCATCTGCCAAAGGAGGCGGGGTAATTGTCAAGCACAAGGGCAAGCTCTATGTGTCCAACAGCCGGTTCGTGGGCAATAAAGTCCCGACCGATGTCGGAAATAGCATTTGGTTGGAACCGGGCGGCGCCCTCGGTCTGCTGGAAGGAACGCCGGAGGCGGTCGTGGAATGGCCAGACGACGTACCTGGTCCGACTTTTGCTCGAAATTCGGCTGACGTGCAACTGCCTTCCAAAGGATTCATGGGACGGTAGCAGTCGAAGTACCACCCAGTTAGAACGTAGGAAAAAGAAGAAAGTTCATCAGAGATTCGTGTTGCTCCTTTCCTTCTTTTCCTCTTTTTTTTTTTTTTTTTTTTTTTTTGTTTTAAACCATCCTGAGCCTAATAGTGCTTCGTGCTGCTGCTGTTGTTGTTGTTGTTGCTGTTGTTGTTGTTGTTGTTGTTGTTGTAATTGAAGTAGAGAGCTAGAAAATGCGAAGAAGAACGGCCATCAGCGATTTCGTTTTTTTTTTCCCCTCAACAAAGGGAACGGAGAGTCGGACAGAATACAAAGAAGAATGGTCGTCATTGCAAAGAACGTGAACGTGGAATCTTCGGACATGGACATGACAATGGCACGCATTCTTTCATTCTTTCATTCTTTCATTCCTTTATCATTTTATATCTATCTATCTATCTATACATATATGTATATACAAATTTGATCCCGTCGAGATTCGAACGCATGCTCTGTTCACTAACAGTTGCATGTGTTCGTTCGTTCGTTCGTTCGGTTCATCGTAGAAGTTTTATTTTTTTTAAATCACATCTTTGTAGAGGGAAGAGAGGAGAACGAAGAGAAGACAAGATAAGATGAGAAGACAAAAAGAGAGAAGAGAAAAAGAGAGAAGAGAAAAAGAGAGAAGAGAAGAGAAGAGAAGAGAAGAGAAGAGAAGAGAAGAGAGTAGGAGAGGACGAAAGTAGAGGAGAGGCGAGGGCTCGAAGAAGAAGAAGAGAGAAGAGAAGAAAAAACGACAGGAGAGGAGGAGAGAAAAGAAGACGAGAAGGGAAGAGAGAGAAAAGAGAAGACGAAAAGAGGCTAGGATAGGAGAAGAGAAGAAAAGAGAAGTGAAGAGAGGAGAGGAGAGCAGAGGAGAGGAGACAAGAGAAGAGATTTAATGACCTTCTTTTGTCTTTTACCGTTTCTGTCCCTGGTCCGTCTGTCGGCCGGTGTATCGCCGGCCCCGCCGGGCGACGCGGGGCGAGATTCCGCTTGCTCGGATTTTCCTATCTCAGACTCGGTCTGGCCTTTCAACTTCGAAATCGACGGTCAGAAAAAAATGAAGAATGGACTCCGTACTCTGACAACAACCGTCGGCCGAGTTTTTTTTGCGGGGTGACTACTTTTGGCACTTTTTTTTTTTTCAGTTGCTACTGAAATCGAATTCAACCATCGATCTATCTGATATCCCTCCATCCGGCTCTTAAATCCGTCTCTCTCTCTCTCTCTCTCTCTCCCCCCCTGACTGCCCGTTATTCTGGCTGATGAGTTAGACAATCAATCTGGCTGACCTGATTGTACAATCAAGGGGAAATAGGGGGACACACCCGCTGCGGCGGCTTTTCCCTTGCCTGAAATACACCTGTGCATTCTGCATCTCCACCGTAAAGCTGGGTAAGTTCATTCATGCGCACCTCACATTTTCGACCAACCAGATGCAGACGTTCCGCGCCCGTGTCAGGCAGTGCGAAAGGACTCGGTGAAACCTCAAAGTTGCTACTTTTCCCATCAATCAATCAATCAATCAATGAGCCACGCAACCAATCCACCAATCAATCAGGCAACCAACCAATCAATCAATCAATCAATGAACCATGCAACCAATCCATCAATCAATCAGGCAACCAATCAATCAATCTTTCACCCTATCAATCAAACAATCAATCAATTGATGCAATCAATCAATCAATCAATCAATCAATCAATCAATCAATTATGCTATCTTGATCGGATGTACAAAACCTCTACCTCGAAGTATTATTCAAAAGAAAGCGCGGGAGGAGTTCTAGTGGTTGAGAGACTGAGTTGGAATTAGGAAAGGATGAGATGTCCAGGTGGGTTGGGGGGGGGGGGGGGGGGGGGAGATAAATAGAGAAAAGAAGTTAACTGCTGTGGTAATTGTACGGACAGTCCCGTCAACGAGGAATCACATCTGTACAAATCACCATACGTCCAGCCTCGTCAGTCTCATCACCATCCATTTTTATTTTTTATTTTTTTTTATTTTTTTTGGGGGGGGTCCCTACCGTCCGGTTATTCTACCGTCCGCACACATGCACATCCTTTTCCTTTTGTATTTTCTTTGCTTTTTTTTTTTTTTTTTTTAATTCCTACGGATGCTCGTTTTTGAGTCGTGAATTGTGTTGGTACTCGGATGGCAGAACCCCGTTCGCCTGTCACTGCGCGCCGAAGGGTATCGCCGCTATCATGCAGGTTGTCCGGGACAAACGTGCAATAGAGACAGCCACAACAACGATAACATCATAACAACCAACGGAAAAAAAAAAAACGTGCGATAGAGAAAATTTCGAGGGGTTGCAGCAGTAGCTATTGCGAACACTCTCCCACACACCACAACACTCTCCCACACACCACACATAACCCACTGACGCTCACACTGACACCCTTGTTGGTCATAGACCCTACTGTTACGGATAACGAGGGGTATCAACCGGGCTATCACAGCCGGTTGGCACTGAGTGCGCCGCAGGTGGTCATTGGCCTCCAACTTACTCCACGTTCTAAATGCCACTTGCGTGCCTAACCAACTGAGCGAGGCCCAAAAAAAAAAAAAAAGAAAAGAAAAAAAAGAGCGAGTCCCCCTAAACCAACCGAGCTAGGCCGCCACTACGCCATGGGGGATGGGGCAGGTACCATGGGAGGCGGAGCTACTCGCAAAAAAATGCTCGGTCTTTTTTTTCTTTTCTTTTTTTTTTCGGCAAAGCTCCATTTATATAATTGCATAAACAATTGGGAAGAGGCCGGGGACCTCAATTCAACCCGGAGTTATCCTGGCAGCCTCAGCCAGAGTTTTTTTTTTTTTTTTTTTTTTTTTTTTTTTGGGAACCTAAGCCAGTTTCGCTTACAAGCAACAAGCAAAGCTCACAACCCCCTAGCTGCTTAAGATCTATCACTACTACTGCTGGAAACCACGGGTGTGGTCCCACTAGCAAAGAGGATGGGATCGAATGCCTGAATCTGGACGAGTTTATGGAGATGTGCAGGAAATCGAGATTGAACTGCTTTTCTGCATCTCTGCTTAAAACACGTCCAGATTCAGGAGCTCCATCCTATCCTTTTTGCTAGTGGGACCACGGCCCAGGTCCAGTATCCCAACTAAAACAAATTGCTTTCCAAAATATTAAACCTTGAAGCACAAACTAAAAAGGGTAGCTTACTGAATAGCGTGCCCCACAAGCTACTCAGACCTTCACGAACTGGGGGCTACAGGTAGGTCCAACTTGCACAGATTAAGAGAATCTGGCCGTTGATCTTTCCTATCTACGGTCAATATAGCTTAATAATTTGTGTAAGTGGGACCTAGCCCCGGAACCCCATAGCTCGGTCTTTTCGTTAGCCACTGGCCCCCCAAACCCCCAGCCCCACCCTACTCCCTGACCACCGCGGGATCAGGGAACGGGGCAACATGCGTCTGTGATAAGCTCAGATCCGTACCGCGCGGCTTGCCATATCCCTGGGGAAAAATGCCGCGGAAGCCCCGAAGTACGGACGCGGATAGAAAAGGGTTTTTCTTTCTTTTTGCTTTTGTTTTCTTTTTGAAACGGCTTTTTAATTTTGTTTGGTTAATAACTCCCACGGGCGAATAGCGGCCGCGGTATGAAAACCAAGAAACGGGTGCGGTTGGGACTTTTTGAATTTTTGTGCTCGCGCCCAAGCTCCGATTTCTTCGCGCGCCTCACATCCCTGTTTCTTGCTTTGCATCCTCGCGCCATCTTCCCTTCTTGCTGCGCGCGTTTTCCCCATGCAGGACTCTTCGTCTTCCCCTACGCCCAGCTTGATCCTTACCCCGTCTTCCTCCGCGAAGTGATTGGCTGCGTAGTTGGGATGCTCGGATCAATGTGGAAAGCGGGAAACCGCGCACCACTTGGACGAACACCCCAATCACGTAGCCATGCCATCCCGCAGGTCGAACCCTCTAACTCCCCACCTCTCTCTCCTGTCCTGCTCATCTACACCCTGCGCTGCCTGCACCTTGTGCTGTTAACCCGCCGCCTCCCCCGCTACAAATTTGCGCAACCCTCTCCTCTCCTCCTCTTTGATCTTGGCTGCAATGCTGCGCGAGCTATGCGCGAGAGTCCACGGCGCCGAACAGGCTCGACGAACCCAAGGACGGGCATAGTGACGACGTGGGGCGGGCCCCGCGGTAGTCTCGGGGCGAAGCAGTCGGAGGGACTGAGCAGTGGTGGGGATTGGACGCCGGCCGCGGCAGGGCCTTGTGGCTATGGTGGTCGGTGGTCTTGGGAAGTTTTGAAGGCTGCGCCTGGGGGCAGCAGTTAATTGAATTTTTTGTGTACAAGAAGGACTCGCTTTTATCTCCATTGCTGCTTTGTCTATGCATGTCGTGTGTGTGAAGCCCCGAGTGATGGGAGCTGGTTATACGCATGAGTGACGTCGAAGGTCCATGGATGATAAGATGTCCTGTCAAGGGTTGTTGATTGCATGCATGTATGTGTATGTACTCGTCCGGGCAGGGATGGGGAAACTGAACTGGGGGACCGTCTGCTTAGGAGTACGAGTGTGTTGATCCGGTTGTTCCCCTCCCCTCCGCGGTCTTTCCTGCGCTCTCGCGCGGTCTTGGTGTAACTCTCTCTCTCTCTCTCTCTCTCTCTCTCTCTCTCTCTCTCTC